TGTTAGAAGACTACCTTTTCCTGGCATAATTCATAATATTCCCTTCTCTTTATCAGGACAGTCTTGTTAGAATAGGTGTTACTGTTCTTATTTTATAGTAGAAAGTAGACGCTCATATGACAGTCTTGGTAGAATAGGTGTTACTGGGGTGCCTGGCTGGCTCAGTTAAGCGTCTGACTTTAGCTCAGGTCATGACCTCGCTGTTTGAGCCCTCCGTCGGGCTCTGTGCTGACAGCTCAGAGCAGAGCCTGGGGCCTACTTTGGATTCCCTGTCTCCCTCTCTCTCTGCCCCTCTCCTGCTTTTGCTCTGTCGCTCTCTCTCTCAAAAATAAACATAAAAAATTGTATAAAATAGGTGTTAATACTTACAGAAGAAAACCAATGCTTATGTTTCTAGGTCCCAGGCCTTTGGTTCAAGTCTTGGAGTCCAGATGCTGTGGTTTTCTTTCTTTCTTTCTTTCTTTCTTTCTTTCTTTCTTTCTTTCTTTCTTTCTTTCTTTCTTTCTCTCTCCTTCCTTCCTTCCTTCCTTCCTTCCTTCCTTCCTTCCTTCCTTCCCTCCTTCCTTCCCTTTTCCTTCTTTTCTCCTTCCTTTCCTTCCCTTTCTTTCTTTCTTTCTTTCTTTCTTTCTCTCTCTCTTTCTCTCTCTCTCTCTTTCTTTCTTTCTTTCTTGTTATTAAGGAAATTCTTATAAGTTATTTATTTTGAGAGAGCACAAGCAGGGAAGAGGCAGAGAAGGGGAAAGACAGAATCCCAAGCAGACTCCCCGCTGAAGCCCCACAGGCTCAAACTCATGAACTGGGATATCATGACCTGAGCCAAGATCAAGAGTCAGATGCTTAATGACTGAGTCACCTGGGCATCCCTCCCTTCCTTTTTTTATTTTGACAGACCTAGAATGTGAGTGGGGGAGAGAGAATCCCAAGCAGGCTCCATGCTATCCATGCAGAGCCCAACATGGCGGTTAAGAGTTTGATGCTTAACCAACTGAGCCATCCAGCCACCCTTGGATGCTGTGATTTTCTAAAGTAGTTCCTCTTTTACTTAGTGTTCATTTTGAGTAGACATGGGAATATTCTTGGGGTCAGAAAGTTACTTTTGAAGCCTGCTGAACCTTGAGATTTCTCTTCAGGAAGTTTTTTAATCTTACTAGAAGCAGCAAAATTGGGGGCACCCGGGTGACTCAGCTGGTCTGTTAAGTGTCCGACTTTGGCTTTGGTCATGATCTCGTGGTTCATGAGTTCAAGCCCCACATTGACCCCTGCATTGGATCAGATTTAACAGTACAGAGCCTCCTTGGGATTCTCATTCCCTCTCTTTCTCTCTCTGCCCCTCCCCCACTTGCACTTTCTCAAAATAAATAAACTTAAAAAAAGAAGCAAAATTGAATGGCTTTTCAGTTCTCCCAGTACAAAGTGTTCATGTAGATCACTATAAAAACTTAGTTCTTAAAAAAACAAACAAAAAAACTTAGGTTTGTTCCCACTAGAATATAAGTCATTGGATCTGTTTTAGAGATGAGTAATGAGACAATGGGAGATTTATCCATATTGTTGTACTCATAACTTTTATGAATTTATATATTACATGCATCTAATGACACCGTGTTTTCTTTTTTTTTTCCTAGATGCTGTACCCCTCAAGAATTTAAACTAACTGAAAAATAAATAAAGGTGTAGATTTGTTCTCTTGTATTTTTGTTAAATAGCTTAAAATTTTCTTTTTCCTAAATTTGGTTGCTATTTAAATGGTGGCAGTTATCCAGCATTTTCAGAGTACAAGGAAGCTAGGGAGTTCTATGTGATGGCAATTACAGAGATTTAGACAATAGGGTTTTAATGAGGATAGGATATGAGTATCTTCATACAAGGCCTTACATGGTCAGGGAGGGGGGCAGAGTAAGCTTTGATCAGAGGCATTGGGAAGGAGTATCTTGAAGGTGTAAAGTGCTGGAGCATAGGGTATTCCAGGAAGGACAGAAGACACAAATATTAGTACAAATATATACCGTGACACTTTTCCAGGCTTCCACGTTAAAATGGGCCTATAACTCTTGCCCATAACAGTCTATTTCAACTTTTATTACATATAACTAACTGCCTGCCTTGTTAGATTGAGAGTCCATGAAAGAAACTTAAAATTATTTTTGATGGCCTTCTAAATTACCTTATGTATGTAGTTGTTAAGATAGATTGGTTGGGAAACTTGTGACTTAATGGTAGTTGGGAGAACCTGAAGATTATATTGATGGTATTTGGCAGCACAGCAGGGATGAGATATCCTTTGGATCTGTGACTAGATAAAACATTCCAGTATATAACGCTTGACTGGTAAGGTGTAAGTTAATATCAAAATAGCAACACATGCCTTAGGAAGGTTTTTGGGGGGTGGTGGTTATTGCCTCGGCGGTGTAGCTTTCCTTGGTTCCATGTTTCAATGTAGTAAAGTGGAGGATTGAGATATTTGAGCATAAGACAAAAGGAAACTAAACTAGGGCTGCAGGATATTTTAAATCTCTGAATTGTTGAAATAAAAGTTTGAACCAAAGCATCAGTTTGCAGTATGGTGGCTGTAGAAATTTGTTGGAGTAGCAGCTAGCTAGTCCTTTTATTAACCATTGTCTTGACATTCCACTGAAAATATCAACAAGAAACTTGGAGTTGGTCAAATTCAGTCCCTTTTACAGTTTTTAATTGTATTTGGGTTCCCTAAGAAACCTGCCAAAAAACAATTAGTGTGCGAAAAAATGGGTGGTGGTGGGGTCAGAAAAAACCATTGAAGGAGATGATGCAGGAAAGGATTGGGCACTTGGAGCATATGGCAGTTCTAAGAAAGGTGTGCTTATTAGTCCAATGGTGGCCATCCTCAAGCCAAAGTTGCTGTTGAGAAGGAAGATCCCAGGTTTCACAGAAATGACCTTGTGTTTGTACTGCCAGTATCATTTGGCCTTATATGGGAAGTATGGCTTCAAGGCAAGAGGTGGATGGGTCAGATGCAGTCTGGGTCCAATGTTAATTATGTTTTCATCACAATCTAAGCAGTGCATTTCATGGTCACAATTTGGTTATTAGAATCCTAAGGAAATTGACATTGGAAACTCAGGTCAATGGCAGGAAGTCAGACCTCCAGTGAGATTTAGTTGTTGAAAAACAGCAACATAATCTAAAACTACTGAGTTTGTTCTGTCATGTACTTGTTACTCTTGGGGTGGTTGGGTAGAGGAAGAAATGCTTGGGGAGGTATTTTGGGAAAAATTGGCATGATTTTTTGTGAAGGCAGGAGGCATTTGAGGAAACCTTCAACTGGGTTATGTAGTGGAACTGAAAACTATGTGGGCAATAATTGGAAAAGTGTGTAGCAACCTAAGAAATGCCAGATTATGCAAGGTCTTGTGTACTGTACTAAGGATTTAGGAGAATTTAAAGATGAGTCTTAATGGGTAAGGTGTACTAGCTTTGGTTGCTGGGTGGGTAATAGTGCATTTGTAAAGTTGGGGAACCAGATTGGTTTTGTGAAGGGAAATGATGAGTTTGAGGAAGCTATAGGATACTCTGCTATGAAACATGTCCAGGAAGGCAGATGGATACTTGGGTCTGGATTAGGCATCCAGAAGAGAGGAAACCACCTGATGGCTATCACCTAAGTTAAGTGAATATGGTATTCTGGTGGGATAGGTGATAGAGCAATGGAAGTGGATAAACAAGTGGTGGGCAATTGAGCAAAGAAAGAAGGCTGAGAATCCTTAGGATGACCTGAGTAAATGTAATGACAAAACAGTCTTGCATGCAAATTCATCCTCTTTAATAATACAGCACTTGTAAATGAGGGTGCTTTATGTTTTTCTGTTCCCATATTGAGGTTTGGTAGGTGCAGAGTTCTCAAGTCAAAAGTTCCCATTGGAGAAATTACATGTTTCAGAGAAACAAGCTTGAATGGCTAGCATTTTGTTGACTGGATCATTGAAACAGTCTCCCCCCAACGTAACACTGCTGTTAAAACTAGGAACTTGAAGTTTTTTGTGATCTTGTAGTGGAAAGAGCACATGTCCTGAACGTAGTGAATTTGGTTTGGAATCCCAGTTCCACGAGTTTTGGCATGATAGATGTTCGGTAATGAGCCATTACTGGTAGAATGCCCCACCCATGAATGAGTAAATGATCTTTACCAATGAATTGTGCATTCTTACGGCTTTTCTTTCCTACCCCTACAGTTCCTAGCATAGTAATTTACAATATTCAGTTCCTGTTAAATGACTATCCCAGTTCAGTGCTGCCAGTTACTAGTTTTAATTGTTTAATGGACCACAGGAAAATCTCCCAATTTTCAATTTTTTTATAGTTACTTATTGCCTAGTTTAAAGGTAGTTTCCTTAATGGCATGGATTCACATGGTCTCTTGGTTAAATGCAGTTGCAATTTTTGTTTTGTTATGAAGTAGGCTCCACACCCAATGTGGGGCTTGAACTTATGACCCTGAGATCAGGTAGATTCATGCTCTACCCATTGAGCCAGCCAGGTGCCCCTAATTCTTGGTTTTCATAGAAGTTAAGGGATGAGGTTGAATAGTAAAGAACTCACTGATTTTACAAGAAATGACTTAAGAAATGGGCGTAAAATCGGTGCCTGAGGATAAAATAAAAATGAAAATTACATTCCATCCATTTTTTTATATAGAGGGTAACCATTAAAGATTCTGCAGCAGATTATGTTACCTGGCACCTAGCGGATGCCTGCCTTCTCGGTGAATAACAAAGAAAGGGCCTCTTACCAACACTCCCTTACTATCGGCACCCACTAGTCTTCCACAGCCCATCTCACGTGGGCCTCTAAACGGCACTTAATTGGCCGGCTTCGCGCGTTGAGACTCGACGGGCATGATGCAGTTCCTCATCCGCGGTGAACTGGCTGGGTGATGCTAGCCAATCAAAACGCGTCTTTCCGCCGACTATACCATTTGCCCCAGGGTGCGGGACTGGTGCTGGGGCCGAGACGTCACGTACTCCATGGTAACGACGCTCGGCCCAAAGATGGCGGCCGAGTGGGGTGCAGGAGCAGGTTCTCCTGGTTCAGGCCCATGCCCTAGCCAGTGGCGCTGGAGCAGTTCTTTATGGGTCCGAAGCGTTCTGCTCTTGTTGGGCGGCCTCTGGGCAAGCGCCACATCTATTCCTGTCTCCTTGGACAGTTCCCCTCCCTGCCGGCACCACGTCCCCTCTGAGACTGAGGTAGGGCGACGGAGGGGCGGGAGCGGGCGCTGTGAGGGGAAAGTAACACGGGAGGCGAAGATGTAGCGGGCAGTTGTTGGAACAAGATGTATTGGAGGAGAAAGCGAAATAAATTGTGCCAGAGACTGAACTGTTAGAGGGCTGGACCTGCTATTGTTGCCAGGTGGACCTTGGGCCCTGAGGCCTTGACTTAGCCCCTCCAAAAGATGTCGCTGGAGGCTCTTGGTCGGCCAGGAGAAAAAAGTCTAGGACTGACACAACATAGTAGATGAGCAGTACAAACAGGAAAGTTTATTAAAGTGAAACTACACTCTCGAGATGGGAGAGTGGGTGCGCTCAAGGAATAGCTGAGCCCGCTGGTTTTGTATTTCTATCTTTTATTGACAGTTTTTAACAAAGGGATGAAATATTCATTATTTGAAGTGAAGGTTTCTTGTAATCAGGGAGGTCTCCTTCAGGAATGTGGGTTCTGCCCTTTTTCTTGCCTTATTTGCCTAAGGAAGTCTGGCGGGGATTTCCGAGACGGGATTCCTTCAAAACCGCAATGCTAATGATATAACAACTGTATAATGAGCTTAGGTCACTCAAGCTGTCAAAATGGCGGTCACTTGTGGTTTTGTTTTAGAGTACTGCCAGGACAGGCCTCTTACTTCGTCATAGGTGGGCATAAGTTCCTCTTTGCTGGCCTCCAGGCATCCTGTTAGAGCCTAATTGCCTGCTCTAACACTATTAACTCCCTTCCTGCACCAAGTGGCCGAGTTGGGCGCCAGGAACGTGATCGCTTTCCTGTGTGGAGAGTTGTATATAGGTAGTTCTAGAGCAATGGTTTTCAGCCTGAGCATGCATCAGAATCACCTGAAGGATTTGTTAAAACACAGATTGCTGCCCCACCCCCACTTTCTGACTCATTAGGTCTGGGATGGTACCCAGAATTTGCAGTTCAAGTTCCCAGATGGTTGATGATGATACTTGTCCAAAGACCACACTTTGGGAACTACTGGTCTAAAGGTTTGGGAAGAAGTTGATAGAGTTAAAGGCATTTGGGGAGATTTGGGGAGTTCTCTGAAGACAAAATTCAGGTTTATTTTCAAATTCCTTCACCACATTGCTTTCTTTATCCTGTTCTCCCACCCTGGAAGGGCCTGCCTCCTTCACACTCCATTTTTCTCCCTCTCTACATTCTTTTAGTCCTAGTTTAACTTCCCTAACTTGAAGGCAGTCAGCTGAAACCACTCAGCGGAATTCACTTTCCATTTCATAGTACATCTTATCGGTACTCTCTTCTGGCGCTTAACCAAGTACTGCATTGTGGGGAAGGTTTATTTCTCAGGCATTTCTTTGTAATCTTGTCTTTGTAGTTAAATTGTAAGGTTCCTTTGGATAAGGTTTGTGTCCTTGATTTCTCCGTAGTACTGAGACCACAGTAATCAGCATTCTTTGAGGAAAGGAGACACAGTACTTGGGTCCGAGCGGCATGTTGTGATTGATTTTATAATTTGTCTTAATACTTTATCAAGAAAGATTGACCTAGAAATTTTCAGTTCAGCCCAGAAATCTAAGACTACTCATTTTTGTGGTAATTACCAAAAAGCTTTGTGCATACTGTTCATAACCATATGTGCCAAAATATTAAGTTTGGGGCTTGTAGCTGTAGTCCAGCTTTTATCATGACACTGCATTTTGGCTGAATTTTACTTACTTTTTAGTATTCTTAGCAACTTTTAAGTTTATAAATACAGTATTGTTGACTATAATCACTATATTAGATCTCCAGGACTTATATATTTAACTGGTTGCCAGTTTGTACCCTTAAAAAAAATCCCCAATTCCCCCACTTCCGATGAATTCTTGAAAAAAAAAAAATCCTACAATGTCCTGTGCTTCTTTCTTTGAATTTAGATTACAATAAGAGAAAGCCATTCAAAGAACTGCAGAATCTCTCCACTAGAGGGAACCTAGATAGTTTCTTCTAGTGGTTGTTGCTAGTGTACAAAACTACAGTTTATATTTGAACATTTCCGTGGATAGGGAGGTTATCTCCAGAGGGAGTCCCTTGCCTTTTGGAGATCACCAGTATTAAAGTTCTTTTTATAGAGCTGAAAACTCTTCCTGAAACTTCCACCCACTATTCCTATTTATGCCTCTTCACTAAACAAACTCAATAGTGATAGTGCTTCAGATATTAAAAATAAGCTAGAGTATGTAATAGCAAGTCCTCCTGCCCATTGTCTTAGCTTTAACTTAGACATAAAGTGTATTCATTGTACTCATTCTAGTGACTATGCCTCTGTTAAATGCTGTGGGAAATTATGTAACATTTTTTTTT